TCTCTCTTTACGTATTAAAACTAGGTCAAGGCTGGGTCATAGTGTCTTTTGAAGAAATGCTCTAACTAAACTATGAATCAAACCACCTGAATCTTCAAATAATAAAACTAAAGAGCTATCAGAGGTTAATTTGATTGTTCTTCACTTTCGAGTGACAGGAGTATTTTTCTCCACGTAAGAGAAGTAAAGTTTGGATTTTATAAGAGATAAGTGGTTCACTCTAAGCGCTCAATCACAAGCACAAGATCAATTTGAGGATCAAACAGGCTCTAGCAATAAAGACTTGGTTTAATTAATTTATCGAACTTGCAAAATAATCAATCTTGAATCCCATTATCCATGAGATCCTTGAGTAGCTGTATATTCTATGTGCAATTCAGCAATATTATTTCCTATTGTATAACTTTTACTTCTTATACGCAGACAGTAGTGACTGCATTACTCTTGTCACTATTGTCTTCGAAGGTAAAAAGGAACTGAATTGCTTACTTCTAATTTCTTATTAGTATTTTAGTAAACGTTTTTTGAAGATCTTTCTAGGTAAAATACCTTCTGGGAATCTTTTCTGATAATGATTGAGTTTTCATTTAGGTCAGCATCAATTTGTACATCCAGACTATCGATTATAATACTTTTGCAATGACTCTCACCATTTATTTTTATGAAATCACTGAAACCAATTCTCTTATTGTTATTATACATTTCAAATTAAAGAATCAAAATATTTTGGAAAACCATGATACTGATTCAGGTTGTTTGAGAGGTTGTTTGAGTTCCGTGATGAAATCATCCAGTGCTTTTAGGGTTGGCTTGAAAAATTGTTTGTAGGTTGTTGCGAGTTCATTTTTGTACCATTCTTCTATATCATCAAGTTGGGACATAGTAAATCCACTGATAGTCTAAAACAGAGTTTGAGTATCGGCACACAGATTTCAATGTTCATTCAAGCCCTTATGTTCACTCACATAATTCACAGGCAATCGAACATTTTATATAACAAAAAATCACCTCACCTCTCGAAATATTGTCTTGTTCGTTAATGTATCTATGCAAGTGGAAGATCTTCCAAAGATCCAGTCATTCTTTTTGGTTTCGACTAAGCATTGCCGGCTATAAACGGTCTTATCACACAAGTTGTTGAGTCTCCATCTGAGCTTTTTCAAATTTTCCATGGCATCAGCACGGTGCTGCGGATTCAGCTGACAATAGGCTCCAGCGACAGCGATGTAGGTGGTTGCGAAGAAAACAAAAAATGGAGCAAGCACCAACGGTTCCTTGTGTAGAATAAAAGAGCTCGTATCGATTTTCTGTAGAATCTTATAACACGTATTGTCTGCGATGGCAAAAGGAATTTGTTTGTCCTTCGAAGTTTCTGCCAGTTCCAATTGCCGCTCGATAGTCTTCATTTCGGCTTTCAATTCATTTTCCACGGTCTCCACCAGCATTTTTTCTCCCTTTAATGATAGCAGATCATTTCCGAATGAAACCGGAGATTCGCGAACAAAAGTCATGAAGACTCTATAGTATGCAGCAGGAATGGAGCCAGCACCTAATCCTATCATTGCACCCATTGAAGTTTCCACCAAACCCAAATATACCATACGCATATTGTTCAAAATCTTGGCTTGGTTTTGTTCAGCTTGTAGAAATTTCTCACGATGGTGGCCATACGTTGGGAAAATGAGTTGGACACTGTAGTTTTCTTGAATGCTTTTCTTAGTGTTATCTAACTTCTTGAAGTATGCATCAAACTGTCCCATGACGGCGTTCTGAAATGGTTCCATTCGATAGAAAATACAGTCACGTATTGTAAGTCAAAGAGTGAGCGAACGCATGTAGAATACAACCGGTTTTAACGAAAAAGCTTCTCTATTTTCGAGAACATCGCGGTTCATAATAAGTTATCACACTTGCAATAAGATAATTGTCAAAGAGAACGCTCATTTTTAAAGAATTATTAGTATATTATACTCTTGAAACTCGCGTTAATAGCTTGATTCTTTACAATATCAATCAGCCTGCAAAATGTTGTGTCATACGCAGAGGATATTCCATTAGACAGATTCTAGTTGCCACATAAAATAATAATAGGAAAGATTTTGAAAAGGAAAAAACATCAGTTTTTATAGGTGTTTCTCTTTTTCCACATCAATTTTTGGCATTCATTGTTGACTTTCATAGTTATCAGCGGGTGTTATCATACCATTTGTAGATTAAAGAGTTATATTCTTTTGCTATTTTATTTATAGTAGATTACGAAATTCCCTTCGTTAACTCGATTTCAGTTATCAGTGTAAAAACATAGTTGGCAACTTTTTTATTGCTAAAAATAAAGTATAAAGTAAGAATGAGTAAAGCCAATTGGTTGTGCATAAGGCTGCATCTACTATTTAAGCTTCAACAGCTTC